GTCGAGTGTCATTGTTGAAATCACCAACAGCTACAGAAATTGGCTCAAAGCCAGTTGAATACATAATTTGGTTTGTAAAAGAACCACTGCCATATCCAAGAATAAGACTTACAGCGTTGTCTTTTGAATGAGCAACGACGATATCCAGTCGAGTATCACTGTTGAAATTACCAGTAGCTATAGAAGATGGCGCAGAGCCAGTTGAATATGGAATTCGATCTGCAAAAAATCCATCACCATATCCGAGAAGTATACTTATAGTATTGCCACGCCTGTTAACAACAGCAATATCCAGTTGAGTGTCACTGTTGAAATCACCAACAGCTACGGAAGATGGATTAGTGCCAGTTGAATATGTAGTTTGTGGCTGAAAGCCTTCATCATAACCAAAAAGAATAGATATACTCTCAGTATCATTGCTGATAATGATAACATCTAGTAAATTGTCTTTATTAAAATCAGCTACAGCAAGCAAGATCGAAGAAGAAGAGCCAGTTGATTTCATTGATGGTTCAGAAAAACTTCCATTGCCAAGTCCTAATAATATAGCAATGTTAGTAGCACCTTTAGTGCTGATGACTAAATCAAGTCGATTGTCTTTGTTGAAATCGCCAAGACCAATAGAATATGGTGAAGACGTATTAAGCGAGTATGTTGTTTGGCTGGTAAAAATGCCGCTCGGGTTACCGAGAAGTACACGTACATTGTTTGTTCCATAATTAGCGACAGCGATATCCAATAAATTGTCATTATTAAAATGACCAACGATAAGTGAGTATGGATGTGAATTAATTCCAGTTGAGAATATCTGTTGATATAAAAAAGTTCTGTTGCCGTTTCCAGTAAGTATAGCTATATTATTTGTACCATAATTGGTAATCGCAAGATCTAAATGATGATCATTGTTAAAATCTGCACTGATGACCGAAAATGGTGACGAATCGTAGCCTGTTGAGTGTGTGATTTGATATGAAAAAGTTCCATTTCCAAATCCATAAAATATGCTAATACTATCAGTTCCATAATTAGCAACAATAATATCTTGTGATGTGTCATTATCCAGATCAATTACATGTATCCAGACTGGACGAGATGAATCAGTTGAGATTACTGTTGTATTAGTAAAAGAACCGTTTCCCAGTCCAAGAAATACACCGATGCTGTTAGTACCGAAATATGCGACAGCAATATCCGTGTGATGATCGTTGTTAAAATCGCCGATCGCTACCATGTATGGAGCAGAATTTAAACCGGTCGAATACGTCATGTTGCTTCCAAAACCACCGTTGTTATATCCAAGGAATACAGATATACTATTAACGAGATGATTGGCAACAACAATATCTACCAACTCGTCATTGTTGAAATTACCAACTGCAACAGATCTAGGGCCAAAATTGTATTCAACTGGATTTTGAAGAGTTTGTATAAACTTCAGATCACATTGTTGTACTAAATAAAAAACAGAAAATTAATAAAAAACTTAATTAGTTGTTATGATGTAATCATTCTTATTGAATTCATAAGATCTCATGTAGTTTTTGAGCACTCAAATGTTAAGTCGATGTTAGGTATACTTATTCACTTTCTTCCATTTACTGTAAAAATTGTTTAAAAAAACGCGTTGTTTTCGAGAGAGAAGAATTGATATTAGCGCCTCAAAAGGATGGAATCAAATGGATATTATTTCTATTGTGTGACGATAATGAAAGGCAACACATAGAATATAATAAGATATTTGTCGATTGATGTGAACCCTTCTTCCTCAAAGAAATACACTAGTTCTATTTATTATTTTATCATACTATTTCTTTGAAGAGAAAAGTTGTATAAAATAATATAATAAATCAAAATAAATTTATATCATATATTTAATTGGTATATGAAGAAAAAGCAAAACGTACCTTTTGATTTTGGAGAAGTCAGACAAACAATCAATATACTTGTGACCATTGTTAGAATTGTGAAGAGAGCAAATGTACTCACAGCTCTTGCAGTTCGATGTCTTGACCAACACGAATGTTCCCTAATGAAAATACATTCTATATATATTATGAGGCTTGAAATGAAAAGAAAATGGCATACAAAGATGTTGGAGTCATTGGCGACTTCTTTATTTTCTTAGTAATATTGGCAGATTCTACTGCATCTGACTGATTTTGTGTTGAGCTCTCATATTGCACATTATCCACGTGAATATCTTGCTCAGTAGCTGAATCCGTAACTCTGATAGCACCATTATCAATAGAACTTTCATTCATCTATAGTAAAATAATCATATTTAACAAAACACAGTTTTTAGAACAAGTTTTCTATCAATTACCTTTTGCATTATTGACTGCGACCTTTGAATGTAGAAAATCTGCGAATTCTGGACAAACAAGAAAAGTTCTAAAAGAATAGATCAGTTGACGTAATATTTTTAATCTAGAATATGAAATGTCAGAAAAATTCGTATATTTTGATAAATAGTGTTAAAGCATTATCTGCAAATTCCTTATTAATCAACAGAGAAAAATCCAAACTATCTCGAACAGATACACAATTTGAAACAATATGAACCTTATCAAAACGTAAAACATACATAAATATTCATCCGCCTGGCATAACTACTGAAGAGTCCTTAAAATCATCTTTCTTGTCGGATTGCTCTTGGTTTCTGACTAAATGCGATCATATTCGGCCACAAATATTCGAGAGTAGTTTCATCATCCAGATTACGACGAAATCCTATTAGATTCTGCAATATTTTATGAGAATCAATCTAATTCCGATGGGTTCCGTATAAAATTTGAGCGGGTCTGATATTGGCTTTACTGACCTGGATTGTATACTTCCTTTTTTGAAAAAAAAACAATACTCTGTGCGATTAGTTGTTACTGCCCTGATAAAATCATTGTTTTCTTGCGTCATATATAATATCAACTATTCCTTATATACTGTAGAACTATTCACGTCGCTTCTTGTGCTATGCTTTCATTTTTGATACAATCTATCAAGCGATTCAAAACTGAAGCGCAAAATGTAGTCATTTAATCTATCAAAATCGACAGCTCCGCTCAACACAAAAAGAGTTCTTATCGCAAATTCATTATTACGGTACTCTTCGCACACACATGGTCTAGCTGAGAAAAACACATCATCTCTTCCGATACCATATTATAAAGATAGAAAGATTCCTTGAATCTTCCACAAGAGACAAAAACAGGAATGTAACAATACCAATACTGCTGGCGTTTGGAAGTATTATTAATAGTGCTGGTTGATATTAATCTCGGTATTATTCATGGATGATGTTGGTATTAATATAAGTGTATCGGATAATGCTTGCGTTGGTACTAATATTTATATTCGTTTTCGTATTGCAACTAGGTGCTACTGGCACTAGTGTATCTATCGGGTGCCATTGGTATCGGTATTTGTTTTCGTTTTCGTTCTCATTGTCGCATCGTTACTAGTTCGTGTTAGTATTGGTATCACTGTTGAGACGGGAATTGGCAATGGAGTCATATGATCTTGGTATTAGTATTCGTATCGCAACTCTTCTTGGTGTTCGTATTCAACGTGGTATCTGTGTTGCTATTCGTTTAAGCATTAATACCAGATGGTACTGTTCCTGGTATTATGGCTACTACTCATATAGAAACTAGCATCAGCTGGTATTGGTAATCCTTTCAAAATTCCTAATACATCGTACAGGCATCGGCGTTAGTGTTGGTGCTCAATTCAATACTGATATTCAACATTATAAATATCGGTTTTGGAGTTCATATTCACTTCGATATTTAAGTACATCAGAATGTCCAAGTTTTGTTCTCCATGTTCATGTCCGTTTCAGTTTTCATAGTCCATGGTATCCTTAATGGTCTTGATCTGTGTAATGCTGCCCATTCCAATCTCCATATCAAAACCAAATCAATAAGTTGTTCGCGTTCGTGTTCAATTTGATATCAAGACCCCATAGTTGTGCTTAGCTCGTCTATCCTTATGTTTACTTAGATAAAAGTAGCAAAACGTAATGGAACTAATGTTACTATTCATCTTAACTTCAAAGATCACACCACAAAGCTATAATCTTTTTATCCGTCATAATGTTCGAGCAACTATAAACATCCGTCGACAGTCATATTTCTATTGGTGCTGATGTTCAAAATACCATAAATCCCACTTCACACTGATACCTATATCGCCGATGAGTACAAACTAATATCTATACCTAATGCGCCCAATATTAAGATCGATAATAGTGTTCAGTTTAACACTTATATTACGTCGCATTAGTACTTGTACACATGATGGTGTTGCATTTCATACTAATCTCATAAGGTCTTGATATTTTTATTGGTCATGGCATTCAGTCTAGTACTTATATCTAATACCATTATTGATATCATCTGCACTAGTCTTCTACTATTATTCATACTACCTGCCATTTATATCTAGACTAGCGTTGCCATTCCATTCCGAATTCACACCGCAGGGCATCAAAAACTGCATTAAAAATGGTCTTCATTTCTATATTCATATCAGGTGGCGTGAAAACTTGTACTAATAATGGTATCCGACTTGATATCCGTAGCCAATAGCTTCAATATTTGCATTACTGTTCGTATTCAATTAGATATTCACACTTAGTAACATTAACATCTGCATCAGTATTGCTGTTCAATTGCATCTTCAAACCATATAGCATTAACATTTGTATGAGTAGTAGTGGCATCTTTATACCAGACGGCACTAATATTTGTAATAGCGGTAGTGTTACACTACATCTTTATACCAGATGGCATTAATATCTCGATAGATGGTGGTGTCCAATTGCATCTTCATATCAAACGGCATTAGTACTGGTATTAGTGGTGGTGTTCAATTGCATCTTCATATCAGACGGCGTTAATAAATGCCTTGGTGGTCGTGTTCAATCACATCTTCATACCAGATGGCATCACTACTGGTATTAGTGGTGGTATTCAATTGCATCTTCCTAACAAATGGCATTAATATTTGTATTAGTCGTCGTATTCAAATGCATCTTCATATCAGATGGCATTAATTATTGTATTAGTGGTGGTGTTCAATTGCATGTTTATCCCAGATGGCATTAATAAATGCCTTGATGGTGGTGTTCCCTTACATCTTCATACCAGATGGCATTAATATTTGAATTAGTGATGGTGTTCATTCGCGTCTTCATACCAGATGGCATCAATTTTGGTATTAGTGGTGGTATTCAACTGCATCTTCATACCAGATGTCATTAACATCTCGATTGGTGGTGGTGCTCAATTGCATCTTCATACCAGATGACATTTATATTTGTATTTGTGGTGGTGTTCACTTGCATCTTCATACCATATGGCATTAATATTTGCATTGGCAAAGGTGTTCACTTGCATCTTCATACCAGATGGCATTATTATATGCACTGGTGATGGTGTTCACTTGCATCTTCATACCATATGGCATTAATATTTCGC